ACAAGTATTTTTCTTTTATTTCAATTCTCTTTAAATTTTCAGCTACTACTTACTCCATTTAGGGTTGTGCCACATTTACTATTGCAAATAAATTATTGCCTCTTGTTGTTGGTCAATTTAATGTTGAAGTTTGAATTGACTACATACATACAATGCTTATAGATGAAGTATTGGTTATTTTTTCTTGTTTGATTTTTCTCTTGTCATTGTCAGTAATGGTGTTACATCCAAACCAAAAGTGACGGACTGGCAACCTTTAACTACCAATGACACGCACTTGGTTGGTGGAACACATTCCATATTAGGCAAGCTTACTCCACAGAAGGTCTGTGATCTCTTACACTCTACACCTTGCTATATCTCTTTGGCCAAGTGATTGCATTGCCTTCATGGCTTGTGAGGAAGACAGTGAGAATAACTTGTTAGTTATTACGGTGACGCTAAGATCAATTGGTTTTTCCCAAGAACCATCCAATGAGAAGATGTGATATAGTAGCACCTGAACTCTTTAGTCTTAACATGCTTTTGTCTTCTTTTTATTTCAATTTAGAACTTTTATTGCTTATAATGAAATTAGTTATCCTTTATTTCTCGGCATACTAATTTACAATCTTTTGTAACCAATGGCACTTTTTTGATTTTTCTACTCTTGATGAAAATATATACTTTGCGTGTAAGTTATTTTAATAAAGCAAGAGATTTTTCTTCTTTAATTTTGATTTTTCATAATTGACAATAAAAGGATCTCAAGGGAAAGGCTACAATGTTGGTTGGTTATGTCATCCTTTATTCCTAAATCATGAACACTCTTACATTTTAGAAAAATACAAGGACATGTTTATTTATTTTTGGATTGCCGTATTACACCAATACGAATATGTGTTCCATCCAAATTATCAAACCTTCTTCTCGACTGATCACTAAATCTTAATTGACTGACTGGTAATTTCCATTTAACTAACTGACAAGCTACTTTACTAATTGAGATTGATCACCAACTGTTGATTTGTCGATCTTTGAACTGCAAGGAACACCTATTGTATCAATTGAGTCCTCCATTGCCTTGAAAGCTCAAATATTTTTAGCTTTGGGGCTAATGACTTTGAAAGATGGTGGATTTGGGAGCTTGGGATCATCATAAATTTTCATTTTACTCTAATTCCGAAACCCTCCATCTGAAACCCATCAAAAGCACCTTTATGCCTAACAATATACTCTTCTAAGAAAGAATGGATTGTATCTCAATTGAGCATGAAAGAAATCCCCATCCAAAAAGTACTTAGCTCCTAAATCCCCATCCAAAAAGTTGGTTACATTTCTGATTCAAGAAACAAAATTAGAAAATTTATGTAATGAAATAGTAGTGCATACTTTCTTGCCAAGTAAGGATTTTGAAGTTGCAGCTGTTAACTTAGATGGCCAATCGAGTAGTTTATTATCAATATGGAGTAGATAAGTTTATTTGTGTGTGTTCAATAGGAATTACTTGTTGCTGCAAGGTAAGTTCCTAGTGAATTTTGAATGTATAATTGTAAGTATTTATGCTTCAAAAGATGATGTTAACAGAAAATTGGTATAAGAGGAGCTACTTGAACTAAAAAAGAAATTTCAGCTATTCTGTTGCTTGGGGAAAGATTTTAATGAAGTAAAGACAACATGTGAGAGACAAGGGTAAAGAAATATCTTTTGGTATTTATTCAACAATTCATTCATAGAACTTACATAGTATTTACAGAGATATTACACTTCAACTAACTATGGTTATATTCTTAACTAGAGTTCTAACAACTTTACTACTGATATAGTTATTCTAACTATCTAACTAACTTGGCTAACTGTAAGCCTTAGCAGGGGAAGCCATGCACTGCACTCTTGGTTTTGACTTTGGCCTTGGCTGCAGTTACACTGTTGTGGATTGAGCATTCATCTATCGAGCTTGAGCTTGATCATTAGAAGATTGAGCTTGATCAGTAGAAGGTTGAAGAGATTCATGAGCTTGAGCACCAGTGGTCTTATCATTCCCTGTCAAGTTGATACAAGAAGCATGACCCAAAAGCTTGTGTTGAAGAAATTGAAAATGAGATACAGAAAGGGGTGAATTGATAACAATGGCAAGGTTTGGGTTAGTGATTGTGAGATACTGAAGAGCACCAACAGTACTTCTATACAAAGAAGGCTGATCAAAAAGAGATTGGCTGGGGCAAGAATGGTGGATTTAGTAGGCTTTGAAGTAGCATATGGCTTACAATTGGTCATGCCAACTATGGCCAAAATATCAGTCACATACTTAGCTTGTTTCAAGAAAAAACTAGTGGTAGAGGTTTGGACTGAGATTCCTAAAAAATAATGGAAAAGGCCTAACTCTTTCATGGAAAATAACTTTATGCATTTTAGCTACCAAGAATCTGATATAAGATTCATCACTACTAGTAAGCAAAATGTCACCCACATAGATAAGCCGAATGGTGATAGAAGTAACAGTCACTTTGACAAACTGTTGCTTGGGGGAAAGATTTTAATGAAGTAAAGACAACATGTGAGAGACAAGGGTAAAGAAATATCTTTTGGTATTTATTCAACAATTCATTCATAGAACTTACATAGTATTTACAGAGATATTACACTTCAACTAACTATGGTTATATTCTTAACTAGAGTTCTAACAACTTTACTACTGATATAGTTATTCTAACTATCTAACTAACTTGGCTAACTGTAAGCCTTAGCAGGGGAAGCCATGCACTGCACTCTTGGTTTTGACTTTGGCCTTGGCTACAGTTACACTGTTGTGGACTGAGCATTCATCTATCGAGCTTGAGCTTGATCATTAGAAGATTGAGCTTGATCAGTAGAAGGTTAAAGAGATTCATGAGCTTGAGTACCAGTGGTCTTATCATTCCCTGTCAAGTTGATAGAAGAAGCATGACCCAAAAGCTTGTGTTGAAGAAATTGAAAATGAGATACAGAAAGGGGTGAATTGATAACAATGGCAAGGTTTGGGTGAGTGATTGTGAGATACTGAAGAGCACCAACAGTACTTCTATACAAAGAAGGCTGATCAAAAAGAGATTGGCTGGGGCAAGAATGGTGGATTTAGTAGGCTTTGAAGTAGCATATGGCTTACAATTGGTCATGCCAACTATGGCCAAAATATCAGTCACATACTTAGCTTGTTTCAAGAAAAAACTAGTGGTAGAGGTTTGGACTGAGATTCCTAAAAAATAATGGAAAAGGCCTAACTCTTTCATGGAAAATAACTTTATGCATTTTAGCTACCAAGAATCTGATATAAGATTCATCACTACTAGTAAGCAAAATGTCACCCACATAGATAAGCCGAATGGTGATAGAAGTAACAGTCACTTTGACAAACAAAGAAGAGTCACAATGGCTTGCAAGAAAACCTTGAGACAAGAGAAAAGTAGAAAACATAGAAAACCAGGCCCAGGGTGCTTACTTAAGGCCATATAATGCTTTGTTCAGTTTACACACTTTAGTAAGATGAGAATCTGCAATGAAACTTGGGGGTTGAGTCATATATACTTCTTCATGAAGAACACCATGGAGAAAGGCATTAGAAACATCCATTTGCTTGATTTGCCAACCAAAATGAAGAGTAAGGCACAGTAAAATGTGAATGGTAGGTTGATTGGCTACAGGACTGAAAGTGTCTTGATAGTCGATGCCCTCCTCTTGAAGATAGCCTTTGGCTACTAACTTGGCCTTGTATCGAGCAATTGAACCATCAGAGTTCTTTTTGAGTCTATACATCCATTTGTAGCCAATAACATTTTTGTTAGAGGGAAGATCAACTAAAGACTCGGTTTGTTGGGATTGAAAAGCTTGAAATTTTTCCACCATTGCCTTAGTCCAATCGGGGGACTGAGCAGCTTCCTTATACGAATTAGGTTTAGTAGGAACATGAGCAAGATGAACAAGAGAATGTAGAGATGTAGACGTAGACCTAGTGATCATAGAATGAGAATTAATAGTGGAACATGGAGGTGTTGTAGGTAAATAAATAGGTAAGTGAATATAAAGAGAAGAGATATAAATGGATTGGGAAAGAGAAGAAGAAGAAGATATAAGATCTGGAGGGATAGGGGTTGTAGGTGTAGCAGAGATATGAGCTGCAGAAGAATGTATAGGGGCTACAGAAGATGGGACAACAGAAGAAGGCATAGGTTTTGCAGAAGATAGAACAACAGATGGTATAGAAGGAGACACAATGGGAGCTACAGATATAGACTGAGCAGTAGGCACAGAGGATGTGACAGAGGAAGAAACAAGTAGAGATGACTAGAAAAAAAGAATGAAACTAAGCAATAGATGGGGCTGGAGTAGAACCAGTAGAAGAAGAAGAAGAGAAAGGAAAACGACTTTTATCAAAGAGAACATGTCTAGAAATATAGACTTAACTAGAAATAGGATCAAAACATCTGTAACCTTTCACTGAGGGATGATAGCCAATGAAAACACATGGAAGAGACCGAGGTTGGAGCTTATGCTAAGTATAGGAGCTTATGCTAAGTATAGGGTCTTAACCTTGGATAGCACCGGTAGCCAAAAGTTCTTAAGAAAGAATAGTCTGGAGGAGTGTGAAACAAGACTTCAAAAGGGGAAATAAATTTAAGCTTAGTAGTAGGTAGCCGATTAATGAGCAATACTGTTGTGGCTAAAGCTTCAAACCAGAGATGCAAAGGTAAGGAAGTATGATGCATTATGGCAATAGTAGTCTTAATTAGGTGCCTGTGCTTGCGTTTAGCCACCCCATTATGTACTGGAGTGTGAAGACATATAAGGTGATGTAAAATGCCTTTACTTTTAAGGAAATTTTGGAATTCATTTGATAAGTATTCCCCTCCATTATCACTCCTAGGGATCTTAAGATAAGTAGAAAATTGAGTTTCAACTAAGGCCTTGAATTCAAGAAATTTAGAAAAACACCTCACTCTTGTAATTCAAAGGAAATAACCAAGTAAACTTGCTAAAATCATCAATGAAAATAACATAGTACTTGTAATCTGATACAGATGCAGAAAAAAGGGCCCCAAACATCTGAATAAATAAGAGCAAGAGGTTTATTAACAATGGAATTAGACAAACTAAATGGTAATCTATATGTCCCAACAATCAGTACACAATCCTGATGAAGTGTGTAGGCAAATGAAAAGTGTTTACAATGTGCTGAAGCTTTTTAGATGAAGGATGATCAAGTAGTAGATGACAATTTGGACTTGGATGTTCAACAGGTTCATGTGCAGCAAAGGTGGAAACTGTACTGGTAAAGCAAGATTGAGGACAAACAGCTGATGTGGAGGCTGGAGAAATGAATGGAGCATGGTAAAGACCTTGAGAATGAAAACCTTTATACAGGATTTTCTTGGTAGCTTTGTCCTGAACAAGAAAACCATCACCATCAAATGTAATAGAGCAATTGTTATCTGAAACCAACTTATGCACAAAAAGTAAGTTAGAAGAGATGTAAGGAACATGGAGAATGTTATGAAGATGAAGAGGATGAGGAGGGGTAGGTAGTAGTCCATTACCAATGTGATGAATAGGAAGAGTAAAACCATCACCAATGGTGACTGGATAATCAGATAGATGGTTTAAGTCATTTGTGATATGACTAGTAGCTATGGAATCAACATACTAGGTAAGAGGAATATGTGAACTCTAAGAATTAGGAGCAAAAGCCACATAAGCTTTAGGTGTGGGTGGCTTGGTAAAAACTTGAAAACTTTGATCCATTCGATACCAACATTCCAAGGCTGTATGATTGTATTTGTCACAGACCTGACATACAATTCCAGAACCAGTACCAATTTGAGAAGGAACACCAGATGATTGAGAAATTTGATGAGAATTGTGAAAATTTTGCCTTCCTCCTCTACGAGAACCTCTGAAATATCTGCCTCTTCTGGAGAATAAAGGACCTTGAAAACCTCTTCGTCTAGCAGATCCACCTTGATGAGAATAAGATTTTCTGGTTACAGCATAGGCAAAAGAATTTCAGAGGCATGAGATTGTTTATGAGCATGCTCAATATGAATCTCTTCAGAACAGAGTAAAGAACACAGAGTTTCAAGAGAAATTGAATCAGATCTATGTCTACTAGTGGTTTTAAAAGCATTATATTCGTCTGGAAGGCCATTTAAGATGCATAAAATGAAATCCTTATCATTAATAGGTGCACAAGCCAAAGCAAGTTGATCAGCTATGGTTTTAAACTTAGTCAGATAGGCGTCCATGGTTAATCATTTCTTAGTGAGGTTACTCATCTTATTCTTGAGTTAATAGATATGAGAATGAGAGAGAGAAGTAAATCGAGATTGAAGAGCAGTCCATACCTGATAGCTTGTTTTGCAATGAAAGACAAAAGTGAAGATGGCTAGAGATAGAGTAACTATGCAACTAAGTAGATGTGCATCAATGCACATCCATTTTTCATACTCAGGATTTGAGATTTCTCTGTTCTCAGAATCAATGATCACAGACGACAGACTAAGTAATCCATCCACAAAACCAATGAGATTTGTCACACGCAATATAATTGATTTTTCCAGACTATATAATTTGTAGAACCTAACTTCACATTAACAAAGGAGCTGAGATTCGAGATGAGTAAAGAAAGATTAAAAGGAATTAATGGAGATGATGAATTTGCCATAGAAAGAGCTTCGAAGATCTTCGAATGATCATCAAAGATCTGTGAAGAAATTTTGAAGAATTGATTTAGAGGGCTCGTTAGAGCTTAGAGAGCTCTGATACCATAAAGAAATATCTTTTGGTATTTGTTTAACAATTCATTCATAGAACTTACACAGCATTTATAGAGATATTACACTTCAACTAACTATGGTTATATTCTTAACTAGAGTTCTAACAACTTTACTATTGATATAGTTATTCTAACTGTCTAACTAACTTGGCTGTTATAACTGTAAGTCTTATCAGGGGAAGCCATGCACTGCACTCTTGGTTTTGACTGTGGCCTTGGCTGCAGTTGTACTGTTGTGGACTGAGCATTCATCTGTCAAGCTTAAGCTTGATCATTAGAAGATTGAGCTTAATCAGTAGGAGCTTGAGGTGTGGCGCCCCCAAAATCCAGAACATCAGATAATATATTAACAAATAAATACATGGTTTATGTAAGGTTACAGGAGTAGGAAATGTCATTAATGTTTCCTTTGGTTAATAACCAAGCAAGATCCAAGAAGGTCAGAAGAGACAATATAGCCTCTCTTTTAAGTCTAACCGCTTTAGATAGCAAAGCTACCTTTTTGACGAATCTTGACAAATTATTAACACAAGGCTTACATTAGTTGACGGAGTATACAGATAGGTTACAAATGATATATATAATAATTACAAAACAAGTCCTAATTACAACAAGGATTAATCGCTTACAAACACAAAACGTTCCTAACTCTCATAGGATAGCTCTGCATCTTCAAATACTTCAGCTTTGCCTTCGACTGGTCTAATAGCCTTCAATACCTGTGTGGACGCGCTCCTGGGAACTCTCCGATATCCGTGCGCGCCTGGTCGAGCGGCGTGCGAATCTCGTTTTGTTCTGTGAGCTACTACAGTTTGGACTCAAATGTCACGGTTCTGAATCTAATCTCACAATGTGCGATATGAGACCGATAAATCACCAAAGAATCCAAATCCGACAAATCGTTTTGGAAAACTGATTTTTATAAAGAAGTGCCAAACATGGACTGCTTTGCCAGATACAGGGTCGCCACCTAAATATTTTATTTTGGGAAGATTTAGGAAACCCTGACTCGTGCCGAAGGCCACGTGTCGGTCATCACCAAAGTTGCCTCGTCTCGGGAACTTAGGTACTGCAGACGTCCCCGAATGTCCTGGGAGGAAATCCCCCCGTTTTGTTCATTTGGGGCTCACTACAATTCAGGACTCAAAGTCACAGTCCTGTATCTAATCTCGCAGAGTGCAATGCAAGACCGATGAATCATCAAAGAGTCCAAATCCGGCAAATCGTTTTTTTGAAAACAAATTTTTTGAAAGAAGTGCCAAACATGGACTGCTTTGCCAGATACAGAGTCGCCACCTAAATATTTTATTTTGGGAAATTTAGGAAATCCTGACTCGTTGCCTAAGGCCACGTGTCTGTCATCACCAAAGTTGCCTCGGCTCAGGAACTTGGGTACGATTGGGGAAGGTCACTTCATGAGCACCCCCGCTCGTCCGATCAAAGATCGGCCTCTACTAACCATGATATCAAGTTTTGAAAACATTATGTGCCCTTATTCCGGTTATTAGCCAAGATTTACTATGTGATGCGCACAGCATACAAGTATAGATTGGATCGCCTGAATTGGATCAAAACATTTCATGTTTGTTTTGAAAAACGGTTTGCTACTCGCAAGTAGGCTAAAATGTAGATTTGCCACCCTCAGGTGGGCTTAGAAAATATGGTTTTGCCACTATCTAGTGGGCTTAAAACTCGCAGTCAATGTATTATTCCAATTCAGATAATCCAACCTTCACCCACAAGCATTCAGGCAGTTATATCACATAAGCAGGTAGCCTCATGGTAAGCATGCTATCATGGCAGTCACTCACACACATGCAAGGATGCTAAAGCATAAATACTTACGTAGTACTCCAAGCCAAAACATAAGCTATGTTCGAAATCCATGCATGATCCTAACTATACGGAAATGCCTAATGCAACACATGCAAAAATGCAACTACAATAGGCTCGGCTATTCTAAACATGGCATATGATGATGCTACAACTAACAAATATTCAACTCGGAATTGAAATACAATGCAGTTAGTATGATGCGCCAAGCCCGGTGCATGCAAGACAGATGAATGAATGCAAACATGCAAGCATAAGTATGCTAATTGAAACTTGTCCTAATCTAACCATCATAAGCTGGTAAATGAAAGGGAGAAAGGAGTGGGGGTTGGAAGACATGCATCGCACACACGTACACTTATTACAATTGCGCCCTCGCTCGGAGGGTCCGAAAGAATAATACAAATCACCTAATTAACTAACTCACAAGCTAATTAATTATTACAAAACCAAATGAATAACTAGCTACAACTAATTATTACACCACTTAATTAATTAACTATCAAATAAATGACAACAAACAAATAGGGAAAGCAGTAAACGATGCTGTTCCAGCTCTGTTTGAAGAAGAGGAGGGTATGCATGCTCGCTTTGGTTCCTCGCCTTGAAACGCCTTCCGGTTGCTCTTTAGAGGCTCTGTTTGCAGGGTGTCTTCCAGTGCTTGTTGCTGAGACTTACCAAAACAGTCCTAGAGAGTTCACCAGTGGCCTGCTAGCCAGAAAAGGAGAGCTGCCGGCCAAAGATGGTCCATTGCCGGCCAAGGGTGACACACTGCCGGCCATCAGTGGCAGTTTGCCGGCCACTGGTGTGCTGTGATACCAAACTGCAACGAAGCACAAAATAGAGAAAATGGAGGGTCTCCCAAGGACATGTATGCAATATGCCACCCTAAATCACCTCAAAACAACAAGGGAGAGGCTTAGTCGGATCCACGACCATCAATTACGCATCCCGATGCATGATGGCCAAAGATCCAACTTGTGCATATTAATATGAAAATGAATGCACAAATAAAGCAAGTAAAGCCTAGAACTCTATCATGAATCATCAAGAGCTTCGGCGACCGAGAATTGAGACACATTCCATCACTCGGAGTATGAAACGCCCCTCGTTCCTCGTGCTCGGATTAACACTTAATCCAGACAATGCAACATGTAAGCATGGCAATCATGCAATATGAACAACCTAACAAGGCTAATGACATGCAACAAGCACATAGGCATGATGTGAGGCGACAACCTTGGACAACATGACAAAATGCAACATGAACATGCAACAACATGTAATGGGGCTAGCATGCGACAACATGCGAAGATGGAGCAAGCATACAACAATATGCAAGACAGGCATGCGACAACATGCAAAGGGATGGACTTAAACTAATGTGGGCAGCTCTCAACTAAGCCCAAATCAATGGCCATACGATGGAAATGAGACAACCAAAACACATGCAAACATGCACGTATGCAAAGGACCGATCCTAAGGCGCAACATGCAACTCTAACTAGGCATGGCAAAGGATGAAACATGGAATAAAATAGCATAAATTATAGCTCTGAAACAGCATGCAAAGTGGTCCCGAATCATGCAAATATGTCACACAATGCATGCTAGATGGCTCTGATACCAAAACTAGTGAAGTGCGTTACACTAGAGGTACCTAAAGCAATGCCCCAAAGGTAAAACCAACCCCAAATAGACCCTAGGCAGGTCTGAAACAGTGGGGAAATGGCCTAAAATGATGGCTCGGAATGCAATGAAATGGAGCTCATTCAATGGTCCAAAAACAAGGCATTCATGGACAACTCTCAAGCACACTTAAGGAGTAGAAAACATGGCAATATGGCATTGATACAAGCTCGGAAATATGATGTATAATGGACCCAAAGCATGAACACACCTCAGTATATGCATGGAATGAACCTCGAAACTCAAAGTTAAGCATGGGTATTGAACTACAAGCATGCAAAACAAACATCATTCAACCATGAAACCCAAAAACAGAGCTAGGGAAATCCAAAATAAGCACATTATCAGTTTAAGACATGGCCAAAATGTGATAAAATCAAGGTCCAACAAAGCATGCAAAGAAAGCTAGTGAACCATAAGTTGTTCTACAACTATATGAAGCATATGAGGGCTCACCAAACCAGCCAAAAACATATGTATGCCATGTCAAAATATGCCCAAATAACCACTGAAACTCAGTCAATGCATGCAAAAATGATGGGCTCCTTTGAAAGGCCAATAAGAGGATTACTCTACACATACATGATAGACATCAATGATGGCAAAACCACCTCTGTAAATAGGTTATGACAGCCCTAAAACTCACCAAAAAGGCCCTGAAATCAACCTAGGAAGCATGCATATGAAAGACCCTTTGAAAGGCCTTGAGTGGGATTGTTCTACACATGCATGAGGGACACAAAATATGGCCAAAAGGGCTTCGGACAGAGCTAAGGAAGACCTTAAAACCCACCAAATAGGGCTTGAAATGTGTCTTCAAAGCATGCAAATAGGGGCCTCTTTGTAAGGCCAAGAAAGCTAGTAAACAAGACAAGGGGTGAGAGGGTCACCCCTCTCTGATTTTGAGACTCAAAACCACATGTTAGTCACTGAAAATCCACTAGATTTCAGTGGCTAAAAGGCCAAACCAAGGCCATCATGAATGCTCTAATGCATAGCTCAAAACATGAGGGAATGAAGCATGCAAAGGGGAAGATGACCCCAAACAGAAAAATGACCTTGAACAAACTTGAAGAGAAGCTCAAAAAAAGAATTTTTTCAGTTTATGTCGAAACCCAAAAATGCTTTCAAATAGGGCTAAGATATGAGGCAAAATAATGCAAAAAAAAGGAAAATAGAGGCTTACCCTTGTAGAGCCGACCCTCAACAACTTCTGAACCAAGGTAATGAGCCTTCAACCTCTGTAAATCAGTTCCAAGGTGCTTGGATGGATGGTGGAGGTGTTGTGCTAGGAGGTGTAGTGCAAAAGTGCAAGGAAAAGGGACTAAAACAACAACAATATAGAGAGAGAGCAAGAAATATATAGAGAGAGAGAGAGCTATATCTTTTATCAAAGTGCTGAACCTCTGCTAAGGAGAGAGGGC